GAGTAATAAATATCATATGGTTTTAAAGTTACACCCTGCACTATGAGTTAGCTGCTGAGTGCCTGTTTAGTAGAGAAAATGTAGTAAACCAATATCATAATTGAATAAAATTTAATCCAGATACAATACCAGTAGGTTACATTAAATGCCAATCACTAAGGAGGGAAAAAATAAAATCTTTCTGATAGTGTATCAATAACTCACAGTAACATTGGAAAAAATAATAAACTGTAAATTGCTTTTTGTATTGAACACATTCACCACCAAAACAGGAGGAAGAACTTTCTTTTTATAGAAACTTACATTGCTGTAGGAAATGTACCTTCTGGAATTCCAACTGAAAGGCAGAAAATGAGTGATATTTTCTATTTCTCCTGGGAGACATCTTTAAATTATCAAGGTAGGGACTCAGTAGGAAGCTATTTAACATACGAGTTTTATTGATCCTATCTGCCTTTGGAGTGAAATTTTGGCCTCAGCTGCCTTGAGTTCAGCCACTCCTGCCTCTCCTTTTGCCACTTCTCAACCATTCTTTCAGTGTATCAGCACAGGTCAAAAGATGAACACAGGTTTACATGCACTGCTCCCACAATTCTGTTTCAGAACAGGCTAAGCAAATGCAACAATGCCAGGGCACTGGAAGGGGGCCTTTGTGGAAATAAAATTCAAGTCTTCACGTTAATGGCCTAGGGAAGACCTAAATAGCAGCTGACACCTCTGAGGTAGCCTCCACGGGTATCCTCAAACTGTTGACTGAACTCCCAAAGTCTTGTCCCAGCATGCGCAGGATTCAGAGCTGGCTGCCTGAGAAGACAGTCGTTTCAATCTTCTAGTTTGGAAGTGACTCTGACACAGTGATAGATCCAGATTCACTCTTTCAGTTGAATGAATGAAAATCATTTCTTGAAACCAGAACTACAGATAAGCTAAAATATTCATCTCTCTCTCTCAAAAAAAAAATAGTGTTCTCCTTTAAATGTGACGGTGCATACAATAGCAAAGAAGAAAAAAGAGGGGGGTGGGGAGAAAGTTTGCATGTGAGAGATTCTGGAATACACAGAGTTAATTGCTTGACAAGAAATTCTATCAGTGTTCAGAGATGATCTACATAGTTCAGAGTATAATGTAATATGCTCCTCTTAAAGGAAGTTGTCAGTGTCTGATGGGTTTTTATTACAATTGCTCACTATAAAACGCACTATTTAATTACTAGCATGAAAGTGATTCTAGCATAAAGGAAGAAGGGGAAATGAGACCTCTACACCTTTTCAACAGTTAATGCACTTGTGCACATAAAAATGCAATGCTTTTTCATACTTATTTTTAATGATGCATTGCACTTTTTTACATCTATGGAATGTAATTTCTCTGTTGATGTCTTTAGATATGATGCAATACCAAGCAATATATGATTACAATGGATAATTTAAGTAAATCTAAAATTCTTAAGATATTGGTCAAGAAGAGATTAGTGATTTTGCACCCCACTTGACAGTCCATTAAATGGCACACTGCTAAGTGCTCAGCTTCTAAAATACGCCATCTTTCCCAAGATATTTCATGTTGAACTTCTAAGATCAGACAACTTTCCAAAAGGCTGAATTAATATTTCTGCAATGCTATGTAGAATCTGGAACTTTACTTTTTTTTTTTTAACCAGCCAACCAGATTTCAAAGCATCCCTTCTTGGAGACTATACAGATACTGTAACAACGTAATTGTCAAAATAAACAAACTAACACAGAACATAATGACAGAAAACACAAATATTTTCAACTGTGAACACCAGGTTCTAAACAAAGCGGAGCACAAATCACAGTTTCTGGCAAACAGAGGTTTTTTGGTGTGCATTCTGGAATCTACAAACTGTAAGTGTACATGGCCATTCAATATATGGATGCACTCTCAAAGAAGTAACTGATCATAATGTCAGTTTTGCTTACCCTGACTGAAAACTCAGGGCAACCATATCCATTGGGAAAGCAGTATTATTTGGAAAGAGGCCAAGTCAGACAGATGGCAGAGAAAAGGGGATGTGAAATGTTCAGCGTTTGGAAAGTTTCAGTAGCAGTGTAATATTTTAAAGGACAAAGAAATTGGTCGGTCTCTTTGGCTTCTGATATTACTAAAAACAAAGAAAGGTATGGCATAAACAAAACATGTTTTTCTAGATTAAACCAAATAAATATAATCACCTGTGGTTTTGAGAAAAAGATGTGAAATATTTCTCAAACCAAGGTGTCAAAATGTATATGTTTTGTATAATATATAGTTCATATATAACAGAAAATATTTTCTTGTGTTTTCTAAATGACTATACACTGTATCAAGAAAACTTTGCCTCTTAGCTTCCTTGATTTTAAAGATAAATTTTGAAATTAGGGCAATCTGATTACTATTTTCATGATCTGTATGACCATCTGTAACTTATAGCTTTTTAACTATGATAAAAACGAAACAGATACAGTTCAGGTGTGTGATCAGCAGGCTATTCACTTCAGACCACTGCTGTTTATCTGACGTAGTGCTGCTCACCAAAATCTGAGATAAACGAGCAGATACTGTCTGTTTTCATGTTGCGTGCACTGAGTTTATAGATACCCAGTGAAACCCTAAAGATTTAACCAGATCTAATCAAGCTATTAAACAATGATTCAAGCAGATCTGTTTCTGTTGCCAACAACCAAAAAACTGTTGATGTGGCTCTATAATCCAGTCAATTTGACTCCCACCTGAGTGTCTCTGGGAGATCAATGAACTTGGGAGTGAAACTCTTGACTCCTGCAACTCCACCCATAGTGCTCAGGGAGATAAGTGGCAGCTAATAATGCAAGAAGCATCTGCTCAGACATTGGGGGAATCCTGGCGAACTACAGTGAAATCAGTTTTCTTTTACAGACTCTCTGAACCATTCAGGAAATAATTTAGACAGCCACATTATCAGGTCTCCTGCAAACATTTTTATATTAAACCCAAGTCATGTATGTGTACATACTTTTTGTATTGGCTCCTATCCAGCTCAAACACATGGGCAATATGGAACCCACTGTGACAGCCATCATGCTATACAATTATTTTCATTTGTGCTGCCACAAATAAAGAATTAAAGATAAAAGTGGTACCTCTGGTACGAAATCTAGCTTTTGTTGTTAAGATTATTTCCTTGCCCAGTGACATAAAAGTGATCAGTATGCCATTATGTGGATAAAACAATTAAAAAGTTTCTCAGAACTAACTCTGTCATCTTGGACAACAAAATTACTGCTGCAAGGAGCCACCAGCACATTTGTTTTCATTATTACCAAATGTACCATCCTCATCAAAATGATAATTTGACAGGTTTTTTTTTTGTTCAACTCATGACAATTTATCCATGTCAGTGTTTATTATCTTACTGTCATGAAAGCTCCTCTACAGACTGCCAGTGCATTATCTATACATGAGTTTAAAGCAGTATTTTGCCTGATCAGAAATGCCAAGCAAGTTCTCATTTTGCATTTGCCAAAATTATTTTGTAATAGGCCACTGTTTCTTTTTTCTTAGAAAGCAGCCTATACTGAATCTTTTCTTAAAACATCAGATAGCCAATGCATCTACTAGATTACTATAGTTTCATTGGAGTACAGTGCCATAGTTTCAATGGAGTGTATCTTGGGACAAAAATTTTGGCTAGCTGTAATGAAAATAAGTATCAAATCTTAACCATATTTTCCATTAAATTCTTTAATCAATTCTTAGATGTCATGCGTTTTGTTCACTTAGAAGAATATAAAGCTGGAAAAAAACAGGTTTATTATTAGCAAAACAGGAAGATTCATAAATGCTGAGTCTCAGCACAAATCTGAACATTTTACATACTACTCTGGAAAATCTGCAAAGACATAGCAAAATATAACTACAAGATATAGCCATGTAAAGAAATACAGAAGACTACATTAGTGACCAGTGTCCAGTTATGAGGGAATTGGATTTCTGGCTGCAGCTTGTTCCTTTGAATTCCTCCCATCTTTAAAAAAAAACTCCTATAATCTCTGTTGAACATTTCCTAATCACCACCAACCCTCAGTATGTTCACCTTCATATGATGCTGCCATGTACTCTCTAAAGTTGTTTTCATTTCTTCTGCCTGAAATTTTTCTGAGGTACAGCAGCCCCTGACTCAGTTGGCCTCAACTGTCAGCAAGACTTTTTTTGATGCCCTATTCTTTCTTGACTTGAGGTTTAACATTTTCTTTTACTTCTAATATCTGTTTGCTTTTGTAGGGTCTGTATGGAGAAATCCCTGTGACTGCCCTCCATCTTGCCAGTCCTCTATCAGGCATTTTGTTTCTTTGTACTCCCCCATTCATGCTCGAAATCTCTAACCTTACACCTATGGTGCAGCTTCTTTGGGCCTCCGTCCTTGGTTAGTATTCCCCCTGAAAACTCCAAACATTACCTCCTTTGACTTCAAATAGAAACTCCTCTAGTGGACACTCACAACACAAATTACCTCAGTTTCCCAGCACCTGCATCTTTCTGAAAATACGTTTTCATCTACTCTCTGAAAGCTCCCTCTGAATTACTAGCGGATGATCACTGTGGCTGAAATAGAGCTGTCACTCTCCCCATCCTTCTCTCTCAGAGTTAACCTTGCACATCTTCTGTCATAGGCACAGTAATACTTCCATCCTGCCCATTGCTCAAACACATAATCCAGACATCATCTTCAACTTAGACTTCTCTATAGGTCTACAGAGCCTTGCTGGTTAGTGCTTGAGATATTTTTCCCACTCGTCCATATAGATAAAAGTCTTCTCAAAGTTCCCATCATCTCCCATCTTGGCTAGTCCAGTATTGTTTCTTCCAATCCTGCCAAATGCCACTTTGTTAGATTGTCAAATGAGAACACATGCACTTTATCCTACACCTGGGAGGAGCTTTCCAGAAATACGTGTGCAGGATTCTATCTTCAAATCATTTTCTTCAAACTCTCTTTTAGCACAGTGTCAATTAAATAAATGTTGAGAAAACTGCCATGCTATGCTACCAGAATTGCACTGTCATTGGGTCCTTCTGTTTGCCTGTCTCCGTGTCCACTTGCTGTCATCTCGTTTTACACCTACACTGCAAGGTCTTTGGGCCAGGGACAGCCTCTTGTGTTTGTATAGTGCCACCCAGAGCAAAGCCCACTTTATGATTAAGAATTCTGCAGAACACAGACCAGTATTGCAAATTACAGCAAAGTGTCACTGTGGTGAGAGCAGCTGTCTCTGTCAACATAGCTTTCCTTACCGCAGAAGGGAGAGAAACCCCAGCAGACCTTTCTTCCCACACTTGTCTGCTTGCATCTTCTCTTAACAAAACAGTGTCTGCTTGACTCTAAGGCAGTTTCTCCAAGGGACACATCAGTGTCTCACACTTTGAAGCCTGTCTTGCAGTCAACCAGTCCTTTTTCCCTCTTCAGAGAAGGAATAACGTAAATCTTTAAAGGATACAGCAAACAAAAAGTGTCAAAACAATCAGGGGCCAGATCCAGAACCTATTATGTTTAAAGAAAATGCTAAATTTACTTCAATGGGCTTTGACAAAGGTCTGCTGTTATATAGAAAAACAGGCTTTGGGTGAAATTAGTCGAGTCATCACAGTAAGAAGCAGAGTCCCACCACTTCCAAGTTATCCAGCGATTCCCAGCCACCTGCTGGCAATTCACACTGTCTCTCTGGGCTGCCTTCCTGTAAAACTAACATATTCCAGCTGTTCTGTGGTCCCAGGCCTTAACCCTTGCCTCCTCTTACTAAGTATTTACTGTCTTCTTTTGCATCTTCCCTTTTCCTAAGCAACTTCAAGTCTCGCTCTTTATTCAACTCTGTGATGAGGCCTAAGACAAAGGGGAGCCATTTATATTACAAAGTAAAACAAACAAGCAAATGAGACCCAAATTGGGAACTTCTTGCTTTGAATTCAAGCAATTCTGTAGGGGTGAATAAGACAAAAAAAAAAAACTTAGCCCTGTTCTGAATCTGAATATTTTGCAACAATTTGGTATTCTAATGGGAACATAAAAATAAATTATAAACAGGTCTTTAGCACTGCCCTTTCCAATTAATATTTTGGGAAACAAAATTAGTCCTTGACACCCAAGCTTATATATATACTCTATATATACTTTTCATATATGTATGAATATATACTTCCTTGTTCTAGTTCTATAGGAAAATTGCTGCTTTGGTATATTTATAATATGATATTAAAGCAGATATAGCCTTAGCGCTGTTGCCATGTGCTACTGGACATCATGACAAAAAAGTCAAAGAAAAAACCCTACAGTTTCTTTATGAAAATAAAAAAATTAGAAAAAAAAAAAGTCTTATTTTGCTTTCACTAAACTAACCAAAAAAAGTATGACAAGAATTTTATATGTGTCTTCTTGTCATCCACTTCTGTTCCCAAACACTATGGTTTATACTGATAATCAGATACAGCACACAGAATGAGTAGTTATTCTTCAGCTCCATCTGTGGTTCCCACCTACTAGGGGAAGGGTAAGTAAGTTCTTGGTGCCATTAATTCTTCAAGAAGATTGCCTTACTTTGCTGCTTTTCAAAATACATTTTCACATCTTCAGGCACTGTGTGTGGCCAGCCATCATAACTGTTTCAGTTGAAAGGAACATGAAGAATCTGTCAATAAGTCAAACACAGGGAAATAACTGGGGTTCTAAAATGTGAATCTGGGAGATGGTGGGGAGAGAATACATACACTTCTGAAAGAAGCCTCTCAGGAATAAGAGGTAGTGCACAGAGACCAAGATAACATGGTAACATACATTTATATGTATAAATATACCCTCTCACATTCCAGCTGTTCACATATGAAGAATTAATTTATGTTCTGCCTGTTCTGTCTGTTTTGTGGCAGGACATACACAGTTCATATTACAAAGTCATTAGCTGATATACCTTATTGCAGAACTATTGTATTCTGTCAAATTCCTACAAACAGAAGCACTTAGGGCTGTAAATAAAATATCCATGACTGGTAACATTGACTTGCACATCCTCAATCTTTAAAAATACTTTTTAAATTATATATTACTTCTAAAGGCATCAGGAACTGTACAGCATGGAAAGTAATTAGAGCATTGAATATCCATAGGAAGTACTTTAACAGATATAGAAAAACAGGGATAAAATGGATTACCATAAAGCATGCAGGAATTGTTTCAGAGATGTCTCAAAATTTTGCAATTGAATTCTGAAAGAAACAATGAGCAAATATGGGAAATCCTATGCAAACCATATAAACAATTCTGTGGATGAGGACTCATCTTCTCTGCAGAGCTCATATCCAGAGGCTTTTCCCTGCCCCTAAGGAAGACAATCAGTGAGATATGGAATCTATTTTGGATATTTATTTCCTGATTAAATATAAATTATTCCTTGGTTCCTTTCACTTTTTGTGATTTGGGAGCTTTAGGTCCTGCTTCTTAAGCTCTCAAAACTCAAGAGTCCATTTGAAAGTTTTCACTATGAGTATCTTTTGAAAGAAGGAAGACAGTAGTGTCTATCAACCTAAACAAAAACTGACTTTCAAGACAGTTAAAATAGCAGTCACATGGGTTTTGGTACGTGCTTCGTTTGAAGATGCTAAAACCTTATGTCAAAAAAGTGGGAATTTGAGGAGAAGTACTGATTTTAACCCAGAGTTACCCATTTCTCTGATTTATTTTTCTATTTGACTCCTTAGGAAGATTTATAGGGAAACTGAAAACATGAATTTTTTACTGAAACTTTTTTTTAATGGAAATTGGTATCTTAGCAAAATAGCCTTCAATTGCCAAGCTCTTAAAATGACTGCAGGAAGACCAAGGTATGGGGACACAGGGCAAGAGGCCTAACTTCACCTGTTTTCTTCACCATTTTTAGTAAATGGTGCCCTTACTATAAGCAAGGTTGATATATAGTGATGATTACATCCTTCTAATATACCGTACAACAATGAAGTTTAACAGAGATGCTTTAGCAAGCTCTTGCAAAGCAATGTATCAACTTCTAAAAGCAGAAACTGACCAGTATGTAAAGGCACAAATTGCTATTACAAGTTGCCAAGTAAGGTGTTTAAAAGCATTTAAAAGTCCTGCTGTCTGGGCTAGCTGGCATTTTCTGAAGATATTTGCTAATATTTTTCTTACTCAGATGGCTTCAAATGGTGATTTGGGCAGCTGGAACCTGGGGGCATATTTGCTTCATTACATACATTATTTTGTCAGCTGGAGCCGATTTTTTGTTAATATACAGATGGACACAGAAAACCTTCAAAGACTTTACAAATATATTTTGTTTAAAATGTAAATACGACCCTGGTATCATTAATAGCCAAGCTAGCTTGTTTCTCTTCACATTCTACGCCTTATATGCCAATAATCTCAGGGCTTTATTTTGCTTGATATAAATTTTCATTAAGCCTGAGGAGGGCTCTTTCTGTCTTTCCTGACTGATTCAGGTTTAATTGGCCTCTAAGGATAGTAAGCTGCTTGAGGGTTCTTTCAGAATCTGTGTTCCTCTGCTGCTTTGCCAAATCATCTTTTTTTTTTTTTAATTTCATCCAGCAATTTGTTTCTATCAGGTCTTTTCTCCATTTTCCCTGCCACAGACAAAGCTGCTACGTTTTTCTTCTGTCATTATACTTTGTAAGTTTTCTCCCCCACCAGTGTTCTCAGAAGAAATGCTGTTTTTCAGGTAGCTCCACCTTTTATTTCAGTCTATTATGATACATCCTATAAAAAGGTTTAGTCAGGAAAATTTTGCTATCTGTCTCTACTCCAGTCTAACTGAATCTCCATAATAGATGTGTGAGTTGATCATGCTATTTAACCTCTTTCCAGCAAGGCCAAACCAACTGTAAGGAAGTCAGAACATAATTGAATCTAAGACAGAGGCAGTATGAAAAATATGGAAAACCAAAAACCCCCTCATACATAAAGAATTAAAAAATAATACACAGAAAAGCTCTTTCTTTTCAGCTTGCTTTCTCTTTCTTAATAATCACATAAAATTCTTGGAGCTTTTTTCCCTTCTTTTTAACAGGGATGACTAGGTTTCTTACACAATTTCCTTTAAACTGAATTAAGAGGTTTGCTATCATTGTGTGTTTTCCTCACTTTTCGTTCTCTTCTGTATGGATATGGAAGTCTCTATTTCAGCAGCATATTATTTCCATGAGCAGTACTAGATCTATTATTTGCTTGCTGTACCTCTAATTTGGCTTTCACAGTTTCAGAAATAGTCCCATTCTGCAACTTAAGTAGCAGATTTCTAAGCTCGCAGCTCACAATTTGCTTTCTCGGGCTGTCTTTGCAGCCAGTACTCCTCAGTTCCTCTACGCAGCTTGCTTTATTTAACAAATTTCCAACCATAAAGTTTGTGACAGCCAAAGCCATCTCTCTTTACATATGGCTAAATACTCAGAGAGTCAAGTTTAGCCTGAGATGGATTCTGATCTCTCACTAAAGATACTTGGGTTTTCAGTAATGTAAACTACAAATTTTTAACCATGATATTCTCAAATACGCTCTCATGTCTGCATCATTTTCATTGTGTTCAAGAGCCTTTAAAAACGGAAAAGACAACTATTCCAGAATTTGGTGAAGTTCTGAATACTGACAGAGAAATTGTAACAAGAGGAGTCTAGTAAAAGTCAGTAATTTACTGTACAGTATTTTTTATGTCTAAGAACTAAAAATTGCACAGAAAAGCTAAAAATGTATACTAAGTACTTTCTGTATCAGGGAGAGAGGGCAGAGGAAAGACTCTGGAGAGATAAAGGCAATGGGAGAGAAATAATAAGGAGGGGATAGAGAAATCAAACATTAAGACAGAGAGAGGAAAGACACAAGCCCTCTGCTTCTGACCCGAATTAAGCAGATGCTTCCCATTAAAGCAGTCATCTCAAATTAATACCTTGAATTAAATTCTCCATCCACTGAACATCAAGGAGGACATGATTCCATCACAATCTTTGAGATAAAACCAAATAACTGGATAGATGTTCAAGACTGCTGTTAGAAATGTTTTCTGTAGTCTGTCTTGAAATGAAAAGAATGAGACGAGCACAGAAGTAAATAAACAGTTTCACGCAAGTACTTATGTTTACCTGGCTAAAGAGAAGCAGGAAAGCATGTTCTCCTAACTCAGATGCTTGCTTGTAAATAGCCTTGGACCCTTTTACTACCTTTGTCTTCCCCAAAACATGCAAAATTTTCATGCTCCAAGAAAAAAGAATCTAAGATAACAAGCAATAATATTTCATTGCCTTCAAATGGTTGCATATACAAAGGATATATAATGAAGGATACAAGATCTCTTTTATAAACAGTGAAGCCACACATTACCCGATAGCATCAAATGCTGTACCTGTATCTCAGCCTGTTTGGAAAGTCTTGGGATTGCAGGACCACAACATTTCACTTGTCTGCTATGCACAGATCTTCTGCACACACTAAACTGACAGATCACAAACTGTTGCCAGACAGAGAAACTAAACAAGAAAAAAGCAGAAAACTTTTGGCCTCTGTGGTCTTTTCCAGTTATTGCTACTTCAAGCATTTCCTTAGATAAAGCGCAGGTTAAAATATGCTCAAAGAGAAATGTCATTTGAAATTGCAAGAATCCCTAAGATGTACTGAACAGTGCATTTGAAAAACAAATCACATTTTACGTGCACACACCAGTCTTTTAACATTCAGGTTGCAAACTGTTTCTATTCGACATGTCAAATGTGTGGTGGTTTTGGTGTTGTTGGTTTGGGTTTTTTAACTTACATAACTTTATCCATTTTTTTTAAACGATTCTGTTGTAATCTTTTACAGCTGTTCACACGCTCTGGTCCCAAAATCTGCAATTTTCTCACAGTATCTGGAGATGAATTTCAAAACTAGCCTGATTTTAAAGTATTAAAAAAAGTCATGAACACTGGGAGAAATTCATTCAAAATACTTTTACTCAATAAGTGTTTCATCTGATTTTTTGTTGCATTACACTGAACTCAACTTTACTGTGGTGATCACCCACACATGTCATAAAAGTAGATGTAAGCCTTACCATAACAAAAGCATAAAACTTGTTTGTAAGCAATAAATTATTTATGAATTTGCACACTTAATTGTATTTTTTATAAAGGGGGGGTCTCTAATTGTATAGGCTTTATTGCATGAAATTATATGGACTGTGATACCCTATATGATGACTGGACAAGAGACATCCACAAATAGCTCTTTTAGCTTACTTATCATTGGCAGATGTAAAGATCCCTAAGTGACATCAGGCCACAATTAACTCTTTTGCCCCTTTTATGTGTTCAACATTCAAGAGCAGGGTCCTCATTTTCTTCATACTGCTCCTCCCATAAGCAGGACAAAAAAAAAAAGTTATGAATATTTCTACCCCAGAGCTTTCTGCCTCCCACAAATAGACAAGGAAACATCTGTTGCTCTTGCTCATAAGAGGCAGGAGGAGCAAAGGGGCTTCTTTGGAGAGCTGCAGAAGAGGCATGTGTTAAGTGAGGCTGAAAATGAATGCGGTAGGAGCTTTAATGCTGGAAGTGGCGGTTCACCTCCCTCACTCTGCTCCTGATGTCGGACCTCATCCACAATTGCTCTGTATTCCTATTTGACATCATACACATACCGAGAGGGAAAACTGTAAAATATGCCAGGTCCCTCAAATCTCCCACATTTGAAATCTCCCATTGCTATTCCTTCCTCTGAGTCACAAAATGCATTAAGTATTGATATAATTTTAAAAGGTGTGCTATTTACAGGAGAGACTTGAATGGCTGCTTTGGAAGCATTTCAAGCTGTCAAACAATTATATATTTAGGGCAAATTACATTTAGTAAAAACAGCTACAGACACACATGGAAAAAATATGAATAAATCCCATTATCTCAGACAGCAGCTTTGCCACAAATAACCCTAGATGGAATTACACATTTAAGCCAAAAACACGAGGCACTGGCCTGCACATGACACCCCCTCACAGCTGCAGTGACCCTCTTAACCGCCATGGCAGCACTCTGACGAAACACCACTTAAAAACAAAGCCCAACACTGACCAAAGGTCACTTAAAAACAAAACCCAACACCACATGCTCACACCCTTGGCCCGCACCCCCACCAGACGCATCCCACCCTCAGCCCCACATGCCGCCTGATGAGGGCGATGGGGGAGCAGGGGGAGCTTGAGGCCCCACGGCTAGGCCGTGGATCCCCTGCTGCAGGCAGGACCCGGGCCAGCCCTTTGGACCGGTCTCCAAAATAAATAATGTTACTCAATTTGTGCTGCCTGTGCGTGTGTACGTGTGTGGAGATGGATGCAGCACAGCTGTGGCAGTGTGAGGAGGTCTGTGGGTCCTTTTGTCTGGCACAAGCGTCCCTGTGGTGTCTAGGCCTATGCTGCTGTCACTGGCCAGCTATGTCTATGGCCTTACATGGCAGGAGAGATGCGGAGACCAGATCTAGCCACAGCAGGCAATCAAAGCTTTTGTGGTGGAGGGAACTGAGAAACAGCCTTCTCAGACAACAAATAAAGCCAACATGCAAAAGAGACATAAAAGACAAGAGGCAAACATTGATTTTGCCACAGGACCAAGCCCCACTCTCATATTTAGTTTCCAATCCAATTCCTAAACACTGCTATCCCTGCATTTAAAATGAAAGAACAGAATTACCTCACAGCAGCCTTCTAGTATTTGAAGGGGGGCTATAGGGATGCTGGGGACGGGCTCTTCATTAGGGACTGTAGTGACAGGACAAGGGGTATCGGGTTAAAACTTAAACAGGGGAAGTTTAGATTGGATATAAGGAGGAAGTTCTTTACCATGAGGGTGGTGAGGCACTGGAATGGGTTGCCCAGGGAGGTTGTGAATGCTCCATCCCTGGCGGTGTTCAAGGCCAGGTTGGACAGAGCCTTGGGTGACATGGTTTAGTGTGAGGTGTCCCTGCCCATGGCAAGGGGCTGGAACTAGATAATCTTAAGGTCCTTTCCAACCATAACTATTCTATGATTCTATGATTCAGCCAGACACCACCCAAGCAACAGCTCAGTCTTCAGCACATAGCTGTTCTCCATCATAAATCACCTTCAATTGTGTATATTACCAGATACAAGCTTTATTAGTCCTCAAACAACAACGCATATCTGTGGCAAACCTTCATCTAGCATGTGCTCTTGCTGGGTTTATGGCATATGGTGACCTGTCAGGAGAACTATGACAGGAAAGGGAGGTGCACAACAGCAGTAAAGAGACAAAAAGCAGTAAAGACTGCTATGGAAACATCACAAATGCCGGAAAGCTCTACGTAGCACTCAAAGTTTGCCTTCTGGCCCCTTTCCTCGCTTTATCGCATCTCATCTGATCCGTCTACAGCATTCACACTTGTCTGGAACCTGGACCCCAGAAGGTTTCAGTGGAGGGTTCAGAGATTAGGACCCATAAACTATACAAACTCTCACTGTTGTGCGTCTCCACGGCCTTCTGCGGTCCTGCTCCAAATCCCTTGTCCAACACATCTGTTCATAGCTCTTTGCTGCCATCCTCACTTGGTTCTAACGTTTCACACGTCTTCCTAGCAGCCCATAGGCTGTGCCCCAGGAGCACTACTTTATTAACTTCTTGTTCAGTGGCTAACTAACACTGTAACTAACAAGCTGCTTGTTACCAGCCCACTTACCTCAGCTCTTACCCACTCCCCAGTTCTGCTCTTGACAACATGGTGGTGCTGCCACACAGACCTGTATCTGCTGTAGCAGGGGTCCCAGCCAGGGTCCAAGGCTTACACAGTAAGGGATACAGCCGTGCCAGATTAGCTTGTGCTCAACACCTCCAAAACAGGCAGAGTGTGACCTGAAACAGTAGGAGCTCAGGGCTGGTAGAAGGTCCCAGTGCAGGCTGCAGCCAACCTAACAACACAAGACATCTCTTCTTCCCTTTCCAGAGCCATCATTTTCACCACTAAAACTTCCAGTAGTACCATCTGCAGTACTGGAACCAGACTACAGTACCATGGGAAAGAAAGGCTCGCAGAATGCACACACACAGAGAAAAAGTCTCCAAAATCCACAGAAAGTAGAAGCAACAGGATTTTGTTGCATTCAGCCACCTTCCCTACATACTGACAATGACTCATGCAGTGGCCTAGGAGAGGATAGAAAGCAGGATCCAATTTAGCCAGTAAACGTAGATCATTCTCATCAGAAACATCACCATGATGTCTCCACCATAGGGTGAGCAGATGCACAGAATCCAAATGATTTTTCCTGCAAACCTATACTAGGGTGTCATTTCTTAACACAGCAGCCATGGTGCTTGCAACATGATGGAGTAGACTGTTATTCTCCCAAGTGTTTGACTGCCAAATCAAAACACAATCTGATGGAGGGAAAAAAAACAAAACAGTTAGGAAGTATCTGTGATGAAGTAGCCATTTGTGGGCTTTGTGCATAAATTACGAATAAAGTTCTGTGAGTATCTTGCATAGGGGAGTAAGTTCTAAAGAAACAGAAGGAAGAACTTAAAAATGTGGGTGGCCCAACATATGTGAAAGACAGGGACTCCTTTGGATAACATAACGTTTCAGAGATATTTTATCCATGCCTGGAACCCAGCTCAATGATCTCTCTGAGGGCTCTTTTCCTGTCAGAGTCCTTATTTGAAAGACCTTTCTGGAGAAAGGTGTGCTGGAATATGATACTACTAATCAACTAATCATTAGTGCTTGAAAATTACTTGCTACAGTGATCTAGCAGCCTGTAATCCTTGGTATTGTTCTTCAAGTAGTTTTGTGATAAATGCATGTGTTTTAAGATATACAGAGAAGTAAATCTTGTTCTATCTGTTAGGCATGCCACTAGCATGAGATTTGAGCTTTCAAAGGGAGCTGAAAAGCTGTGCACAAACAATGAAGAGTCACAAGTCTTGCTTTGGAACCTTTTCCTGCTGGTGTCCCTCTCATGTTGAGTTCAAACTCTGCGCAATTGGTCTGTTTGAGAAAGCATAGCAGGGGAAGGAAAGTTATTTCCTTGCAGATAATTTTCAGAGCATTCTTCTGCCAACTCAGCAATGATAGGGCTTGAGAATGTGTACCAACTTGTGTGGACAGGGGCTTGGCCAGCCTCAAGATGCGAAAGTCAGTTCAGGAGTTCCAGAGAGTCTCTGGCTTGAGTCAGAAATGCCTTTTCGTTTGTTTCATCATTATGTAAACCTATGTAGAACCCCTTTTATAAAATATTTCCTTTTGATACAATCTTTCAGAAACTAGAGCACAGAATAACCTGACACAAACCACCAATGCCCCCCTGGTGTGGAAAATGGGTGTGATTCCTGTCTAGTAGAGACACTAAGAGTAGCACAGGGTTTCTCTCTACTGTGTTACCAGAGAAAAGCAGCAGACATTGTTTTACGTGTTCCTTCATTTCAAAATAAGCAAACCTTAAACCTTCTTTGTATGGGCAATTTTAGGTCCTAATAAGCATCAAACTGTGGGATTTACCATACAAAGTTTGAAGCTAACTATAACTGTTAGAGAGAGTGAAGACTTACCACTGAAGTGAGGAAACACTGTCAGGCACATTTCTGACTTCTGGGTGAAGAATCTTCAAATAACATACTACCCCCCTACACATACACAAAACATAGAAAATCTTGTATCCAACACAATACATCCTGTATGGTGAACCTAAAAATCGAGTTATGTTCACATTTTATACACAGTTATTTTCCAAGTACAGAGTCTGAGGCACTGCAAAAAGGCATGCAGCACAATTCTAAGCTAGGGGACAACTTGAATCTTTCAACTGCTGCAAAACCCCAACGTCACACTGAAGAGCTTTTTTACTCTTACCCTTTTTTTCCTTTGCTTGTGGTCTCTTGCTGGTCTCAGGAACTGGAAAGGACAGATGAATCTGGAAGAGGTGAAGGCTCCCACACACCACTGCTTCACTACCAGGAAGTGATCACAGGTTCTTGTGATAAACTACTGAT